GAGAGACGAAACGTTTCATTAGAGAAGAACCCGTCCAGAAGGCCTATACAATTTTTTTCCTTTTGATTTTTTACCTGGATTACTGAGATGCATCAGGACAATGCACAAGAAACAAAATTACCACTAACTAGCAATGATACTACTAAAATATAATCTAAAAGGTTGTGCAAGAATAAAAAGATGTTTTGTTTTAGAGACTGTAGTTACCTATCAGAATTTGACATTAGAAATTAGAATTTACCTATTTTCAGTGCAAAACAATCACAACAGATTATTAACTGTAAAGTATGACAGTGCAGACAAGAAACACAGATGTGCAATTATAGCAGAAATGTTATTTTAAAGTTTAAAATGGGTAATAACAGAGCAAGTGATGGCACAGATTTGTTTTATAAATGAGTAGTAGGGCAAATGATGTTCAGATGAGAAATGACAATGAATAATAGCAGTAATTCAATTCAATTTCAATTCAGTTCAATTCAGTTTATTTGTTTAGCGCCAAGTCACAACATACGTTGTCTCAGGGCACTGTAAATAAAAAGAACAATCTAAAGAAGAAACCAGCAGATTGTGTTGAATCACTTCATTACAGTCTCCCATCCTGAGCAAACGGTGGAGAGGAAAAACTCCCTGCTAATCAGGAAGAAACCTCCAGCAGAACCAGGCTCAGGGCAGGCGGCCATCTGCCTCGACCGGCTGGTTGGGGGACAGGAAAGAGACCGACAAACACAGGACTGGTCCAAGACTGGTCCAGGTGCACCTTCTTCTGGAAAAGAGACAAATAAAAACATGTTATAGATGAAAATAATTGCAATAAACATGTAGAGAAGAGAGACTAAAGACAACAGCAGTACAGTGATTTTGCGCGCAGCAGCAGGTGTGTAAACACAATGTGAGTTTTGGGCATGGTGCAGATTATAGAGTCTGACAGCTGTTGGGAGGAAGGATCTGCGATAAAGCTCCTGATGAAGCTCCTACGTTGAATTTTTTTTTTGAGTTGTAAACATTTTTGTATGTCCAGACACCCCCTTTTTAGATAGAGCCCCCTCCTCAAATATGGTGTCTGTCATAAAACCGTTGGCTGGCTCAGTGTATGTCGGACGCGTCTACATTCCTGCCAAATTTCATGTTGATTGGTGCAGCTGTTTTCATGCTACTGTTGACCAAAAATGAAAAAAAATGAACAGTCCGAAAACAATATGTCCCCCACTTTGCGTGCGGGGGTCATAATAATTATTGAATAGTGAATAAAAGGGAGAAACATTATAAAAGTTATTTTCTTTTTTTACGTATTTTGTAGTGTAGCGCCCCTTTGCTGTAACGGCATTAATAGGGGCTATCCTGAGTCCTTTAAATAAAGTGGTATCTCTACCTTTAAAATTAGTGTTGTTTTTGCACTGTCACTAATTTCGGTTTTGCAATAATAGTAAGAAGAAAATTTAATAGTTATTTTAAAACACCAGTTTAGTTTCTCTGTCTTTAGACTCTTAATGCACCAATACAATATTAATACTAACAGGTAAGTAATGT